TACGTCACAATTAATATCTATCATTATATAACAAGTAGCTCGGTGGCGTAGTAGATAAGCGCTGTTTCCCGCGCTCGTTGTTGTTAAGCAAGTTTCGCAAGGCTCGGTCACGGGATGGGTGAACAAAAAATTATTATACGATAAGCCGTTGGTACCGGCTGCATATGCTGTCGTTAACACCCAACAATCAGTACTGGGCCCTTGTGTTGGGTCATGGTCCACTCTCCCTATTCTATTTCATCTATGGATGGCTTGAGCTCTAAGCGTGGGGACATTATTAATAATAATAATAATATAATCTTTATTGCACACATACAGACAGGAAAACAAAAATAAATTATAATACAGAGTGCACAAAAGGCGGCCTTATTGCTAAACAGTAATCTCTTCCAGGCAACCTATGGATGACAATAATAAAAGGAAAGGGAAAATATGGGGTATTGGGTGCAATGGTCAGAAGGATATGGTTAAGATACATATATCTTTACATTAATAGGATGTAGACAATAATGATGATGTCTAAGGTAGAATGGAAATTTTTCATGAGCGAAAAATATATTTTTAAATTTAAATTCACTTTCAAACATTCCACAAGAATATAATGTAAATTTAACAAAATCACCCAGTATATTTATAAGTAAAGTTAATTAAGTCCGAATTGAGCAGTATCCCATTACTCATTAATTTTAATAACGGTAATTCAATATATAGAGATGGTATTATGTGGTTAACTGAAATACAATCAGTTATTTCCACGTGTTTAATAATTAAATACATTGAAAGTTATCATATTTCAGGGTTTGTTTTGAGTTTTCAGATATTTTGAGTTTCAGAATTTCGGTTTCAGAAATCGTTGTAAAATTTTAAATTTTCATAAAAAAAGTTACAGTTAAACCCGATTCTGTATATCTAGGAACTAATAAATAAAATCGACTAATATCACGTCGCTTGCGCGGCACAAATTATATGAATCTAATTAAACTGATAAGCACAAGTCACGGGTTATATAGAAACTTCGAATACTTCCAAAGTATGTAAGGTATTTATTTTTATGAATAGTAAAAGCAAAAAGCTTACTTCAAAAAGTAACACAGGTTTTATTTCATTGAAGCTTTATGACATGACAGAGTTGTGCTTGACGATGAATTCCAGACTTATTTAATAAAATAAAAGAGATTAAGTACATAGTTTGTTTAATTTGTTGAATATTTTATTTTGGATTGATTGTGCTGGACTTCCGCAAATCAGACCTCATTATATTAAAAGCTTAAATCTTTATTAAATCGAAATGGCTTACGTATCATATATACGTGTAGTCTAGTGCGGAATGAGGCTTAAAGCACCTCGCACATAGCTAGCCTGTGCTGCGGCAATGAAAAAATATAAACTTCTCTATCGTGTGAAAGGTGTAACTTTTATTTAATATCTAAATTGCACTATCGATTTCGAGTTTAAGGCTATGAGGTTTAATACGTCTCATACAGTCACAAAGTCTTGATTTAGCACAAGGCTTAAAACGCCTCGTACAGCACTAATGGAAAGCACTCTGAAACCAGTATCGTAGTGAACGTGTTAAAATAAGTTTGAGAGAGTATAAATCAGACAAAATTCTGAGTATAATATATTAAGCAGATCGTAGTATAACCGACGGCACAGCAGGTTACAAAACTATCATATTTCCCCAGCTCAATTTAGATCAAAATCTGTTGTGGAAATTTGACATACAGTGGTGATCGTAAGTGGAGCCGTACAAAGTGGCATAATTTCAAGGCGCATTATACTTTTATATAATTTGTTGGGAGCTCAAATAAATAAATAAAATAAACGACACTTCGCGTCATTTCAACTCGTTCAAAGTAATTATGGGTAATTTACAATATGATTACCGATATTTTTACAAACGCCATGTCTTTTGCTAAATATTATTTAATAACTGCAATTTGTTGTTATCATATGCCACTTGTTTTACAGGTTTACTCGTAATTATTTTGCTTGAAGTGTTTCTGTTGACATTGATTTTATGTAAGTCAATCTGATGTCAAACATTCTTCTTGTATTATTTCGATCTATTTTAAATATACATAATTGTTTTACGTTATTTTCTTGACGTACTAATTTGAGTTTTCTTGCAGTAGAATTTATTTAATAGAAAGTAATAGTTAGTAAGTCATTCAGATAATAATACTGACGCATAGATGAGGTTTTATTTATAGGTTGATTCAATTTTGAAACTACTGAAACAGTAACAGTTTGAGAATTGGATATAACATTGAATCTTATTGAACAGTGAATACAGCTCGAAATACAATGTCAAAGTAATAAAAAATTGTCTAATTAAAAATAAATTGCAAACAGATTTTCATTAGCCATTCAACTGAACAGACTAATTCATGAGTATGGTGTTGATGCATTTTGTTAATTGGCTGTAATATTGAGAAAAGTAAGTTTGATTTTTCAATATTTCCAGGTCCGATTCCCGACCTGAGAACTCCTTTATTTAAATGTATGAAACTTCGATTAAATTAAAAGAGTTTTTTTTGTATTAATCAAATAAATTCCTAGGAACAGGTTTCGTATGTCTTGCTAGTTCAGCTTCAGAAAGCTCTTGTACGTTTTTGTCACAAGTTCCCCGTCTATTACTGACTGTTCTAAATGCGAACGCTGTATGGTCATGTCAATGAAAATTAAATAAATGGAAAAATGGGAGTGCTATCTTCAACTTGGTACCGCTTTGGATATAAGACGCGACGTCTTCTGGTCTCCAACTCAATTTATTTTGTGGTTTTAGCAGAAATTTAGAACGATTGCCACTCATGACTCTACACTTATAACGCTTCAATTTCATAAGAGTTGAGTTTTACTTTAAAAGATGTTAACACAAGTAAATTGAAGATTTATACCACAATTGACAGTGTCTAGAGATTTTGTCACTAGGCACCTCATATAGTAACAGATTTCCAACCTATCGCCTACTGTTGATGACAACTTTTTCAGCCTCTTTAGATTAAGTGTTTTTGTATATATTTTATGACTTGTCACTTTTTATTGTTAATTTGTTATTGCTGTCTGTCTTTCTGTCTGTTTGAAATATTTCTTTATCGTGCAATTGAATTTGATAATTCTAAAATACACTCAGTATGATATCGATAAAATCTATGTAGAAAATCTATTCTATTAGACTTTAATTACTTGCGCAGGAAAGGTAGATGATTTTTCTATTATTTGTTCTTAAGTTGTAAGACAAATATGGAAGTCAAATAATAAAAATATCAAAGAGTACATTTCACAATTATCATTCAATCTTAATAATCTAAAAGCATAACAAACACAAGTAGAACTACAAATTAAATCGCATAACGCGATCAAACGTGATCAAATGAAAAAAGCAGATCATCCGTTATAATGGGATCCCGCAATTCACTGAAACTAAATACAGTTAGAGATCCCGCTTAGCTGGCGATTTGTACATGTATCCAGTATAAAATGAACTTGCTTAAGACTGGTTAAAGTAGCAGTTACGTGTATTGTTTTGTTGGACTATGTCGTATGGAGTTTTTTTGTTGAGGTCAATACACCGGTGTGAGCGAGACGACCTTATCAATTACTTATACTATGTGGACATATAGGGTGATCATATACCAAAGTAAAAACGTTTTATAATTTCCTCTTAAATCTTAATTACGTGTTGTGTGTATATATATTTTTTTATTTCTCTCCGAAATATGTTTGTATTGTATCTATTACGTGATGTTAATAATAAAACTTATAATATTTAAAAATGTTAGTCCCTTAACTGATGTCAATTAAAATGGGGCATATTTAAGTATGCGTTTGAGAAAAAAAAAATGCTTAAGCTTTTGCTAGCGATTATTTATTGTGCAGATATTTTAAAATAACAACATCTGAGAAATTAAAGTTTAGATTGAAGAACAAGGTTATCGTAAAGTTATTAATTCGAACCCAACTTTGGTACTTAGCGACAAAACAGGCAAAATAACTATCATACATTTTTCTAACAACATTTTTGGAACAGCCTATATCTATCTCGTCTCTAACTACACGAAGCGGTCCATATCCGTACTCTACACCTGTCGTTGACAACCAATAGAAACGTAGAATCTATAACTGTATATGTTTAATGAAAACATATGACACATAGTTTGTATCATTTGCACATACATATCTATGCGTAAGTACTTTCTTGTACCTTGAAAAGTATCGTACCTGAAAAAATCTTACTTAATTGTCTATACTAATATTATAAAAAAGAAAGATTGTTTATTTGCAACGAATAGGCTCAAATCAATTGTATTTTTTCTATAATTTATGGTGTACAATAAAGAATTTATTAATTAATTCATACATTTCTTCGTTCATTCATTCAGAAACTAATGGAGCAATTTTAAAAATTATTTCACCTACGGGAAGCTGCATCATATGCAGTGAACATAGGCTATATTTCTGCTATGTGTGTCTCATTCTGCTATGTGTGTCTCGAGGTGCAATACGTACTACACATCGTTGCGGCTTTTTTATTTTGTAAACATAATAAAGGTTACCAGTTCGTCGCGAAATAGTTTTTCAAGCTAATCTATAAATAAGTGCCTCCATAAGACGTAATAAAATCATAGAAAACAGTAGTGAATGTGATTTAAAAACTGAAAACAGTGTATTGTTAGTGGGGTATCTGTATTTTTTCTAACATTTTATCAAGATCGAACAAAGGATTTGTACTTTAACCGTGACGTTGCCTGACGAGTAATTGACTACAAGATCTTCATACAACAGAATGCTATTGTTATTTTAAATAAAGCGGTAAACTAGTTGCGTAGCCTGTTGGCGTCTATGTCAGATTAAGAATCGAGGCGAAACCGTCGGGGGCGAGTTCGAATCCGAGTCTACAATAATATTTTATTTTTGTTTTTTGTGTTGTTCTTCTTGTTACTTTTTTATTGTTTTAACTGGGAACTGGGAATAAAATAAATTGAATATTTTTAAGAATGGAAAGGAATAATAATAAGGGAGGTGTTGGAGAGAGGATGGCGTCAACATCATATAAAACACAAAACCCAATGGAGTTAACTTGGGGATGTTGCACAATGGATTTGGATGACAGCGCATTTCTTCAATGTGCTAAATGCAAGCATGCTTACCATACGGCTTGCTTACCTGGCACTTATATAGATCCTGCTACTTCCGATGGTCTAATGAATTTTCTGTGCCCACTCTGCGATAAAAGGAAGCCGGGTAAAAACGACAACACCCCAATTCGTTTTAATTCAAACGCAATAATGACGAGATCTACTAAGCGACAAGCATTGAATTCCCCCCCAAATGAGAAACCAATAACGAATAGTGAAATGCAAGAAATCATTAAGAGTATGTTAATGGAGGTTCAGGTGTCTATGCGTAATATGATAACTAGTACATTGAATGAGGAATTTAAAACATTTACGGATGAATTAAAAGAAGTTAAAGAGTCGATGAACTTTATGAATATAAAATACGAAGAGGTCAGAAAAGAGCAAGCTGAAACTAAGGAAAGAATGAAGCTTTTGAAAAGTGAGAGTGACATAGCTAAAGCAAAATTGAAGGACCTTGAAAGTAGAGTAAATTATCTGGAACAAAATGCACGAGCAAACAATTTAGAAATTCAGTGTGTCCCTGAAAAGAAAGATGAAAATCTATTGAATATCATAGAAGAATTGGGCAAAACAATAAATTGTAAGGTCACCACTGAACAATTAGCTTATTTTACTCGAACTCCCAAATTGAATAAAGATAACGATCGTCCAAAATCAATAATAGTTCAATTCATAACACCTAAAAAGAAAGATGCCTTCTTGGCGGCAGCAATATCGTTTAACAAAGCTAATCCAAATAATAAATTAAACTCTTCTCATGCTGGAATACCGGGAAAAATGACAGCAATTTTTGTTACTGAACATCTATCTATGTCAAATAAAGCACTTCACGCGGCGGCCAGGCGTGCAGCAAAGGAGAAGAACTATAAATACGTATGGATTCGAAACTCACGTATTTTTATGAGAAAAACAGACAATTCACCGTACCTTATTATCAAAAGCATGGAGGCGTTGCAAAATTTGGATTAATTTGATATGTGTTAGATATTTATCTCTTATTACATTTTTGTCTTTATTTTTTAAGATTCTTGTTTATTAATATTTTCTATCAAAACGTTCGTGGGTTACGTACAAAAACTCACGATTTTCTAAAGTCAGTTTTATGTCAAAATTTTGATATTATTGTTTTAACCGAAACATGGCTTAATGACAGTATGATGGACAATGAATTGTTTGATGCTAGATATAACGTTTACAGACGGGATCGACAAATTACTAGTTTTCAAAATAAAAAAGATGGCGGGGGAGTGCTTGTGGCAGTGTTGAAATCAATAAAATCTGTTCGTAAATTAGAATGGGAAACTAATTGTGAGGATCTTTGGATTGAGCTGCATTTACAAATTTCTCATAATATTAAAAAAATTGCTCTTTGTGGGGTTTACTTGCCTCCACCTGTTAAGAAATTGTTACTTGACCATTTCATTGATGGTTGTAGTAAAATCATAAATAAGAAAATAGACGGTGTTTTGCTTATTGGAGACTTTAATGTAGCTAAAATCGATTGGAACTTGGTAAATGATTTATCGAACAGTTATACAGCATCGGGACTTAGTGAATCACTCATTGAATTTGTACTCATAAATAAATTTAATCAACTTAACAATTTTCACAATAAATCAGGTAATATTTTAGATCTAATTCTCACAAACTTGCCTGTGTCAGGTTGTAAGGTCACTAAATCTTGCGTCAAATTATGTAAAATAGATGAGTTACACCCCCCTCTGGAAATAATTATATCAAAAGATGCTGACACGGCGCTTTCATATAATCCCGCCAATAGAGTATATAATTTCCGCAAATCAAATTTTAATTCTATTCGTGAATCTCTAGCTAAATATGACTGGCATGAATTGCTTAGTGAGGCTCCTGATGTGAATGGAATGGTAAATATTTTCTATACAATCATAAATAGGGTAATCAGTCAATTTGTGCCTACCAAAAGGGCTTTTAGAGTTGCTACTATGCCACACTGGTTTAGTAGTGATGTTAGGGGAATATTGCAAGAAAAGGAAAAAATCAGGAAGCGTTATAATAAATATAAAAATCCACTTGACCGAGTCGAACTTGGAATCCTAAATAAGCGGGCTAAGATACTATTAAACTTGTGCTATAAAAAATATATTGATAATATGGAAAAGGGTATTATAACTAACCCGAGACTATTCTGGTCCTATGTTAAAGCAAAAAGAGGAAATAGAAGTAATTATCCACAAACAATAACTGATGGCAATATATCATCTAGCAATGGTTCAGAAATATGTGATATGTTTGCTTCATATTTTGAAAGAGTGTATAAAGTCTCTGGAAAGGCACAAATACCCAGCAATAATGAATATTTAAAAGTAATGCAAAACTACAGCCTAGAGCTGAGGGCTCCTGTTCTTAGTGAAAAAGTAATATTGAAAACTTTAAAATCTCTTAATGCTGATAAAGGCGCAGGACCAGATGGCATCCCTCCTTTTTTCATAAAATCATGCGCGGAGGACCTTCTTCCAGCAATCTATCTAATTTACAATAAGTCCCTTCATACAGGAGTGTTTCCTAAAGAATGGAAATCTGCTAAGGTTGTACCCGTTCATAAAAGTGGCAGAGTAGATATGGTTGGTAATTATAGGCCTATATCTATTTTATCGACACTGGCAAAAGTTTTTGAATCGCTCCTTTGTCCGTTACTCCAAAATCACATAAAAACTTATCTGACCGATTCTCAGCATGGCTTTGTGAAATGTCGATCTACCGCCACAAATTTAACACTATTTACTGAAATAGTAGCTGAAGCCATGGATACTGGCAAAGAGGTTGACGTAATTTATACTGACTTCAGCAAGGCGTTTGACAGGGTTCCTCATGATATTCTCTTATATAAGCTCAAGGCTTATGGCATGGTGGGCCCCTTGCTGGAATGGTTTAATTCTTACCTAAGTAATCGAAGTTTCTACGTAGTTGTTAATGGATTCAGCTCCGCTCGATACTGTGTAACATCTGGCGTTCCGCAAGGCTCACATTTGGGTCCGCTATTGTTCACTATTTTTATCAACGACATATCCGAGTGCTTTCAACATTCTAGAGCTTTTATGTATGCCGATGACTTAAAGCTAGTTTCGAATTGTGAAACCGTTGATGATATGAAGTTGATACAGGGTGACATAAACCGGCTAGTCAAATGGAGTCAATTCAATGATTTGGATTTAAATATTGATAAATGTTACCACATGAAGTTCACTAGAAAAAATGTGTCTTTTAATACTAAATATAAAATAGGTTCTGAAAGGATAAAAAACATAGACGAAATAAAAGACTTGGGGGTTATATTCGACAGAAAACTGACCTTTATTCCGCACATGGAAAATATATACAAAAGAGGTAATAGGATGTTAGGATTCGTGATTCGTAACACTAAGGAATTTAAAAATAGTAAAATAAAGATTTTGTTATTCAGTAGCCTTGTTCGCGCTTTGGGGGAATATTGTAGTGTGGTCTGGAGACCGCACTATGCTACACATTCTTTAAGGTTAGAGCGACTACAAAGAAAATTCGTTTCTTATTTGTCATTTAAGGAAGGAATCACTAAGAGTATTAGATCCTACGAAAAAAGGTTAAATTACTTTCGATTACTATCACTGGCTAACCGTAGGAAATTGTTGGATCTATCATTTGTTTTTAAAGTTTTTAATGAGAAAATTGATTGTCCTCCTCTTCTTCGCTTGTTTAAATTTAGAGTTCCCAGTAGATACCCCCGTTACCCAATGTCGCTCCTGTGCCCACCATATCGTAAGTCGCAGTTAGGTGCAAATTCACCTATTCCAAGAATTTGTAGACTCTTAAACGAAAACAACAGCATCATTGATGTACATGGTGACACATTTGCCAGGATCAAATCGATTTTGTTTGAGACATGGAAACAATGCCCTTAATAGGTAACACTTGTAATTGTACTATTAGAGTGGTGCTCTGTTAAGTTGTTTAATTTTAATGTCAATTAATGGTTCAAGTATATGAATTATTGAATATTAATCAAAAGTTGTTTCGTACTCCTTAGTTAAGAAAATAATAGTTATTTGTTTGTTCTAAGCATGCGGTGTTTACCTGTAATTGTTCGTTACATACATGCATGTGATACATCTTTTTACAATCTTTAGTACGTAAGTTTATTGTGTAACCGAATGTTGGTAAACCATATAATAAATAAATAAATAAAAAAATTTATATCAGAAAACAGCAAATGAAGGGATGAAAACGGGAGTGGAAACTCGTACAGGGAATTTGAAAGTTACCATAGTAACCATTGTTTAATATTCAATTTGTATTTGTAATTTTATCCGTGGCATGAAATGAAACGATATATATTTAAAAAAATATTTATGTGGTTTATAATAAAATTAATGTATAGATGAACTTTTTTTTTTGAGTGAGCTTTTTTTTATTTTAAGTCTATAAATAGTAATGGGTCTTTGTTGTAAGTTTATAGTTATCTCTTTTTAAATTACTTTTTATAACAACTAACAGATAGTCATCTTTCATTGATTTTATATTGCATTTTACATGTAGAAATCTATTTATTCACTTGACATTGGCAGAATTGTGCGAAATGCACAGATACGCCATTAATAAAAGACGAAGAAGTATGTTATTGATTTGACAAATATCAATGTCGATATCTCGAAAATATTGAAATTCAATGCACTAAATATAGATAAAGAAATGTTTGTTAGACTATTTTTTTTTTATGGTGTAGATCTAGGCTAAAGAAGTTAAGCTAAAACATTACTTACAAACTTTACCAATGTAGAAGTTAGGATGTGTTCCCACACCTCTGCGTCCGAACATACATAAGCATAAATCGTGGCGGCAGCACCGGCCACCTGGCATTTTGGAATGCTACCTTTACTGTGCGGTGCAAGTTATAAGATTTGTTGATATGCATTTTTAATAAATATTGCTTATTAGATAGTTTAGAATTGCGCAGGTAAATCAAGTTTCGCAAAGACCAGTCACCGGGTAAGTAGCCGTAAATGTAGATTATAGAACATCTCCGTGCGTTGGTAGTGGCTAAATCTAGCTATCGTTAGCAGCGCTCAATACATCTGGGTGCGCATAGTCTATTATGGGTCATTTGCTTTTCTATCCATATGTAAGATCTGTGCCTAAATGTGACATATTGCTGTAAGCAAAATGAAATTATAATAAAAAGGTAAATAAATAGGTTTGGGTCTTATTTATGTATATCATATGAAGTGAGTTCTTGTCATTCTCTAATTAATTAGGTACCTAATGCTTGACAGCATACATTATGGAATATTTTGTTTGTTAATTTATTGTTTTTTTTTAAAACCTCCAATCTTTAATGCACTAAGCTGCCAATACTGTCCTACAAGATGGAAGAAAAATTAAAAGAGTCGCCAGAGAACTATAAAGTTGTTACACGTTACATCGATTTGTTAAAAAGAAATTAACTGGTACCATTCCTACCAGAGGCTACAAATGCAGATCAGTTTATAAATGAAGCTGTTATTACTTATGTGTGTCCCAATTGTCAGTCTAATGAACAATTTAATGATTAATTAGAATATTAGATGTCAACGTTAATAATGTTTAAAACAAGACTGATGATTTGTTTTCATTGTAATTCTACTAAAATAAATATAATTTTATCGCCTCGATTAAATTATTTTTATTTAATATTGCATCGATTACAGTACACGTGAAAATAATTTGGACGTTAGAAGTTCGGTTTTGTTATTTGATTAGAATTGAAGTTGTGATCTCACTTAATACTTAATAATGAAATTTTAGTCTGGAGGTTACCAGTTGTATTATTTAGTTAAAATAAGTGCAGTTATAGATCTGATAAGATTTTCACCTTGATGAATTTATATTAAAGTATTAGAATAAACATTTATCTGAATGCTTTTGTTACGTTTTTTTTTTTTACGTTATGTTTTAAAAGTGTTCAAATTTTTTAGTTTTAA